AACAGGGAGCCCATCTGGGGGGGGGGGCAGTGCGGGGCGCTGGGGGGGCAGCACCGCGGGCACTGCCTGGGGCCCGACAGCAACACACCTGGGGAATGTGCTCTGCCAGGGTGGCGGTGGTCAGAGGGCTCTGAAAGACAAAGCACAGCTCGTGGGTGCGGGTCGGGGAATGCTCTGGGGCTTGTGTCCATCCCAGCCCTGGTAGTGGGGACACCCCAGGAGCCTTCCTGCATGTGCCACGAGCAAATTCTCCATGCATCATTACACCAGCAATGTTTTTAGGAGCCTGGGCGTGAGGGGCTGCATCTCCCAGACATGCTCATTTCTTTGCAGGGTGCGTGGCTCCTCCAAGCCATCCAGGGGGCAGGGCTGTCCCTCCAAACACGTATTTTTCTACTCTTCCCTTGCTCTACTCACCAGGAGGGTCATGTTGAAAGTTCCAGACATTTCCAGGGCAAAGAAGAGGCTGGCGTAGAAGTGTTCAGAGAAAGCCAGGATGAGGTGGGAAGGGCTGGAGCTCGCTGGCTCAGGCATGCTGAAGGGCATGGGGCTGACTGGCAGGGGGATTGCCATCCCTGCCACCTGGAAAATTGTCTGCAGGGACACAGGTGAGGAGAAAAGGAGCTTCAGTGGCCTGGGGGCACGTGTCACTGGGAGGAAGCAGCTGGAGAGCCAGGACTTACTTGCAAGGATATGGTGATGCCCTGCTCAGAAAACATGGGCACAGCCAGTGGTAAATACTGGAGCTGGCAGCTTGGTGTGATGGGGAACTGGGCTGCAAACCGAGCAGAGGGACACTGAGGAGGAGCAGGGCAGCAGGGATGGCAGGTTGAGTCTGGGAAATGCCTGGTTTTCCCAAGTAAAGAAACAGGCTAAAAGCTGGATGGAGGGACCGGGTCCCTGCTCCAGTGAGGAGCCGCTGGCACTGGGTTCTGCTGCCTGTCCCACCTCCTGACCTGCCCAAAATGGGCCCCACAGCCCTCGGTCCATGAGGAGACTGAGTGCCCAGTGCTCACCCGACAGGGATATCAGCCGCTCGTTGGGCAGGAGCAGCAGTTTGGAGACTTCCAGGCAGATCTAGTGAATAAAGAACGAAAAGAGGTGGAAGAGGAACACAGGTCTGCCAGCATCAGGTGTCCCCTGAGCTCCTCTGGTGCTGCTGTCCCCATCAACTGGCCTTGCAGCAGCCAGGTGACAGGGAGGGCAGCATGGGGTGACCATGGGTGAGATTTGGCCAAGCAACAGGGTGACTTAAAGTGCTCTGATTCTTACAGAACTGAACAATTGTGTCTCTGCTGTCTGATACCTTCACAGATGTTTCTTTACCTTATCAATGTTAATCTCCTTGTCCAGGTCTGAATCAGAGGACTTGCTGGGTGAAAACAACGGAACAGAAGGAGTTAGATCAGAAGCAGCTCAGCCAAGAGTAGGTGAAGGTCTTTTATCTGACCCAAAGGGCACCAGAGACAGTGTTACTGTTATTTTCTATCTATTAAGCAATGGGTACAATTCAGAATTGTGCTTTCCCTCCATCATGAGCCTGAAGCTCTCTTAAAATGGGGGCACCACACTGCAAGCAGGGCACAGCTCCTCCCACAAAGATGAAGTTTTGTGTTAACTTCTGTGATCTTCTAGGGCACGGAGCTGATCTAAGTCCTATCACCTGCCTGCCTAGAAATGCTTGTGCATCAGTTTCTTCTTCTCCCCCATTACTCAGATCCAGGAAAGCTGTGGGGCTGACCTTGCTATCTCCTCGATGCTCTGCGACCCCTCCAGGGTGGGTCTGCAGGCAGAGGTCACCAGCTCCAGGTTCCCTTCAGGGTTCATCTCCACATGGAGGTCAGCCAGGATGGACAGTCGCGTCACCGTGGTGGTGGATCTGTGCCAGGGAGGAGAGGGGGAGGCTGGAGCTGTGGGGGCTGTTCCAGGGGGCTCACACCAGCCCCCTGCTCCTGCAGGTGGGTGCTGGGTGTGACCCGCTCTCTTCCAGCCAGGTGTCCCCAGCACTCACGGGGTGGGGGAGATGCTGAGGTCGGCATCGATGCTGAGCCGCAGCCCCGCGTGGGGGACGAGCGACAGGGACAGCTCGGCCACGCTGACGGAGTTGATTTGGTTCCTGCTGGAGCAGAAAGGAAGGGTCAGGAGAGCAGCCCAGACTGAGGTGTAACCCCTGTCTGCTCTCACATGAGCAAACCCCAACAGCCAGGAGCTCTGCACAGGTAACTTGGGGTGGCCCCAGGGCTGCTTGTTCCTGAGCGGCCCTGGCACACACCAGCCTTGGGCTCCAGGGGGGTTTGGTCCTCGCTGGCAAAACCCTTTTTGTGCTGATGCTCAAGTGCTCCAGGGAAAGCCCTGGGAGCCGGTGGCCCAGCAGGGCAGCCAGGGTGAGGCAGAGCCATGGACTCACCTGCTGGGCTTTGGGGAGCCAAGAAATGTCTCTGGGGCTGCCGGGGCCATCAGGTCCTGCCTGAGGACTCTCTCTGCATGAGGCTTGGAAACTTCAGCAACTGTGAAATAGGGCAGATATTTTATGAAACACTCTGGAGCTTGTGGTCTGATGGACAGACAGAAACTCATCCCAGTGACACATGTCCATCCCTTCCTAACCCCCTTGCTCCTGGCTGTGGAAAGGGGATGATGAACGTGAGCTGATAATGGCAGAGGTTTCTAGTGACAGTGTTGGGTATCTCCTCAGGGGGGGATGGAGGGCACTGCCTCCCCTCCCTGCTGACTGTGCAGGAGATGCAGGGTCTGGACTTACAGTAGCTCAGTCCTGAGGGGGTGAGGATGCCCCCGCAGTCGGGGGAGCGGGTGGCAGGAGCAGGGACCAGGAGGCTCAGGAGGATGCTGAGGGTGCGGAGTGTGGCTGTGCCGGCACCTGGAAGAGGAGCAGACCCGGGTCAGAACAGTGAGGGCCCCGGCCACCCAGGCACAGAGCCCACAGCAATCCCACTGCTGGGAGCAGGGAATGGCCCCAGCTGGTATGGACTAGAAAATGAACAGGAGCTGAGGAGCAAACTGGAGTTGTGGAGGAGGCTAAAATCAAAAGATGAACACGTTACCCACCACGCTGAAAGTTTTGGGACTTGTTTGTGTTTGTGGTGCTCTTACAATATTAAGAAAACAAGAATTCAGAAAGTTTAACCTGCAGAAAACACTCATATTTATATCAGTCCTTACAGAAAGTGGATTTCTGATGAGAACTGGCCCTCACAGAGACCCACTAAAGTGAGTACAAGCAAAGCTTCTCTCAAGCTTATCAGGCTGCAAACACTCCCTTACCTTTTTGGACCAGCATTCCCATCCTTCCAGCTGAGTCCATGTCTTGCTGTGGCCACTCCAAGGATTTGTGCTGACTTTATATATCTTCATAGCCGAGGCTGACGGGGCAGAAATTGGCAAAGAGGGCTGGAAACTGGGACACTGGGTGGACAATTTGTTTTAAATCCTGTTTTTATTGTTTCCCTGTACAGCTGGTGCCGCTGACTGAGCGGGGTGAAGCACCGACCAGCAGGTGCTGGGGCAGGTCACCTTTGGTGTGGTGTTCCTCAAGAGCACAAAGGTTGGTCTCTGGGTGGAGGGTGCCAAGAAACCAAACATTGTTAGAAAGTGAGCAGCTGTTTCTTTGCTCTGCAGTTGCACTTTGCTCCAGCCCCAGGGACCCACACCAGCTCTCCTGGCTGGGCAGCTCAGACCAGAAGGGGTGAGATGCCTCGTGCCAAAGGTGGTCTTGGCAAGTCATCACAGATGCCCTCTACTCGCATCAGATCTGGGTGAGTCTGCTGAAGCCAACAGGAGTGTCTCTGTTGGGCTCAGTCAGTTTTAGAGCAGGCAGAAGATCAATCTGGTTTTCAGCCACCTCCTCCAGCCCCTGGAATGGCCCACGTGCTGTAATTCCTTCCTCCCTTTAGCCTGTTCCTAAGCAAAAGGCACTGACAATAGTTACTGCCACTGGTAGAAAAAGTGGTGGGTGATGTCCCCACTGATCATGTCTCTCAAAGCAGTGAAAGCATTTGTGGCAGGGAGTCACAGTCCCTCTGCTTCCTCTGCTTGGGGTCCATCATGTTCTGCTTTCTTCTTGGCCTGGAGGACAGAGCAAACCCCAGGTAAGTGCATCCGTCCATGGTCTCACCCAGCTCTCCTCTATGTTCTGACCTCCCCTCCACCCCCAGGTACCTGTGGGTTCAACCTTGAGGCCTGACCACTCTTCCAGAGAGGGTTGAACTGCCCGTTTGGGGCTGAGTCCCTTGGCAGTTAGATAAGGTGTCAGCACTTGTTGAAACACCTGCACCTGGAGAGGAAACCATTGTCCTCTGTGCACTGGTGATGTGAGTTATGGGGCACTGGCTCCAGGTGCATCTCAACACGTCCAAAGCCTTTGGCTCTCCCTGTGTGGTGCTGCTTCCCTGCACAGCACAGAAATGCCCAGGGAAATCAGGTCCTCCACCAAGGCACCCAGAGAGCTCTGTGAGGAGCAAGTATGAAGCTCCACATGTAGCAGTGAGGGGTGCAGCCCGTTCAGAAGCAGGAAATGTGTTCAGGAAGGTAAATCCATTGAGAAGGTTGTAACCTGCAGGGAGTCCTGCCTCCTGGCATCTGATGTTGGTAGGAACATGGACACAACCCAGGAATGTCTCTGAGAAATGAGCCTTTGCTGTGTTTTAGAGCAGCAGATGGAAATGAGCCCCCAGCAGGCCCTGCCCCAGCACAGGTGAGGTCAGCAGCTCCTCCTGGAGCAGCACCAGAGATTTATCCTTGGAGCATTACCATGATTTATGGCCATGCAGGGGATCAGCTGCTGGAGGAGGTGGCACCCTGGTGCTTAGAGCTGGATTTTTTCCTCCTGAAGAGCTGTTCTGGACCTGATGATCCCTGTGGAGGCTTAATTAGATGTCAGAGCATAATGACTGATCAAGTTACTAGCACAAAAGTGTCTTCCTGGCAAGGTCCATTCCCCGTCAGGAGTTACCAGTAAATCTTGCAGCCCTGTTGGGTGAGGTGTAAATCTGCTTGTCCGGGGGCAGGGAGAGGCACCGAGCGTGTCCCTGGCAGGGAGGGGATGGCAGATTAAACCTCATGACATGTTTTATACAGAATTGAAGAGAAGATATAAATTACTTGGTGCTGCAGGATCCCAGCAGGGTGACCTCCCAGAGCTGGTTCCTGCTGGGTGAGATACCTGGGAGGGGATGGGTGAGGATGGTGGGAGCTGACCCAGCTCAGGCAGGGCTGGGGCTTGGGCAGCCACAGTGGTAGCACCAGACAGGGATGGGTCTGAGGAGCCTGTTCTCTGGGCAGGTGATGGTTCTTCTCCACCTCACTTCAAACCTACTGAAACCAGTAAGAACATTAATGAGAACACTAATTTCCAGTGGGTTCTCCACCAGCAGATCCCATGTCCTCCCCTGGTCTCCTCCACGAACCTTAGGGGAGCAAGAGCAAATAACCCCAAAAGCTGCAGTAAGGCAAGTATCTCCAAAAGCAGAGTTTTCCATTTCACCTCCTAGGTTTCTCCTCACCCCCACTTCTGCCTGTACCAGGTAATTAAACAGCTCAGGTTTTTATTTCAGCCTAGATGTGCAAGTCTCTGTGGGCTCTTCCAGGGCTCTGAGCAAGAGCTCTGGGCTCAGGTTGCCAGAGCATGGACCTGCTGCCTGGGGCTCGAGGGCTCACCCAGGCTTCCAGGTTTCTTAGTGAAATCATTTGTGTTGGCAGATGTCAGAATCACTGGGGGATTAGGTTATATCACAGTAATTACCCAGCCCTCTCATTCCTTCCATTTTTCCCTCTCTTGCTCAGGGTTTATATACAGGCTTTTCTTGCCTCTCTCTGGGAGACCAGTGCAAAGGTTGGACAACCTCTGGGGACTCTGCTGGAGAGGAGCTGGGTGAGGTGGCAGCAGCTTCCCCTTCCCCACAGGGGTCCTGTCACACTGAGATGCAGCAGCTCATGTCATTTCTCTCTGGTGCCAGCAAGAAATGTGAGGCCAAGCTGGAGCAGGTTGGTGGGGCCATGTCCTTTGTCCATGAGGGGCTCATCACACCTCGTGCCTCTGCCATGGCCAACAGCCATGAGCTCCCCTGCTGCTCCCAGCCCAGGCCCTCTGCTCCATCAGGCACCCCAAGCCCTTTCTCTAGAGCAGGTTTTAGGCACCAGGACCAGCTCTGGTGCTGGTGGTTGAGGAAGGATTAGTGCAGCTCTTGGGTACCCACCACAGGTGGGTGGTGCAGGATGCAGGCATGTCCTGATGGGGCTGCTCTGGGGTGTTGAGACATAGAAACTGTGGGGGATGATTCCTGTACTCAGGCTGTGCAGCTCTGCTGGGCAGCCAGAGCCCTGCTCACCTGCCTCGAGCCCGAGCACAGCCCTCAGCCCTGATGTGCTATGTGGGAACTGTCTCCAGCTCACTGTCTCTTTCTGTTGAAGCCCACAGACTCCTGTCAGCCTCCAGAGCCCTGTGAGCAACCCTACCAGATCAGAAGATATCTGGGATTTGGTACTTTTTATTCCTTGGTGCCTGGCTGGCGTGGCCAGGAAGAGCTGCTGTCCCTGGAGCTGCCATCAGGATCTGTCTTGGATCCACTGACCATGGAGAGTGTCCACCCTGTCAGTGTCTGTGCAGACAAGAGGGCAGCACTGCAGCAGGGAAGCTGCCCCTTGATGCTGCACATCCCAAGCCATCCTGCACCCTCAGCACATCCCAACCCTCAGCACTTCCCAGCCCTCAGCACATCCCAGCCCTCAGCACTTCCCAGCCCTCAGTTGTGGTCTGTGCATCCCACGTGGGGCACTGAGCTGGACCCCAGGGCTGGGACACCTGTGGGACTTTAAGGTGGGAACCTGAAAAGCTGCCCTGTGTCTAAAACTGCAACGGGTGCCCAGCAAACACCTGCTGAGAACTTGCCAGGGATTGCCAGGGCTCAGGGGTGGCAGAAATTGCTTCTAACCTAAACGTACAGCACATGAAGGGTCATGATGGTGCCCGTGAGTGTTGGAGCAGCAATATGGTAATAATGATGTTTTACAGGGCACAGTGGAGCCTGCAGAGACCCCCCCACCCTCTGGCACAGGCTCCTCCCTGGGGGTTTTGTGCTAAACTCCTTGTCCTGTGCCAGTCTCCCAGCACTGCCCACTGCTCCGGGGAGCCACGTTCTGCAGAGGAAGCTGCAAAAAAAACCCCAATGTCAAAGGCATCAAAGGCACCTGGGGGTGAGTGATGCTCTGCAGCCTCATCCCACGCGCCTGGGCCTGGGAATGAGAAAATAAAAGCAGAAGGTTGGGAAGTGTCAGCCCGGAGGCAGAAACGAATCACTCCCCACTAACAAGTGTGATACCGAGGCGGTGATTTCCCGCCTGGCTGCCCAGCAGACACAGCAACTGTAACTTAAAGGCAACAAAGCACGTCGGCCCCGCCGGGCTGGGGGGCCGGGCTGTTGTCAGGGCTATCCTGAGGGAGCCCAGAATTTCTGGGGGGTCGGGACTGACCCTCTGCCCAAACCCACTCAGGGGAAAGCACAGAGATGTTGGCAATGCCAACATTTATTTATTTTCAAAATCAAACCTTGGAACTTCTTTGTTAGGGAGAAACCTATTTCTAAATGTAGAAGTGGGTTCAGGTGGAAAGTTTAAGCCAGAAGTGGAAGAACAAGGAGGGTGATGGTGAGGTCAGTGACAGGTGCATTTGGCACAGGCACCTGCCCTGGGTGCTCTGTGGCCTCCTCTCTCCCAGCCCTGCTCCTGTTTGTCCCGCACGGAGGTGAAGGGTCTCCCGGTGCTGGCGCTGGGCTGGGGGCTCATGGCCATGTTGGTCCAAATGACCATTGCTGGGAAGAGGTGAGGGGGAGCTGAGCGCACGGGGGGCTGGGCTGGGCTTTGTCCCACTGTGACCAAACTCTGCTCTGAGCAGCTTCATAGGAGGGACCACAGAGGTGGCCCTGGCTGCCAACCTGGGAGCTGCTGGGACAGACCAACCTCCCCAGCAGGTCAGTCCCTGGGGACACCCCCACAGCTGCCAGTGGTAGTCACTCCTGAGAGGTAGGTAACTGTGCTCTTCAGGGGCAGGTTTCTACAGAACACAAATACTTTTCACAGTTCTTTTTTTTTTTTTTTCACTAAGAAAAACAAAAAGTGTTTTCCAGAGCAGCTCAGGCCGTGCTGTTCCCTGCAGTGCTCACCTTGCATCAGTCCTCAGTGAGGTGTTGGACTCCTGGCATGTCAGAGCTCCTTTAAGGTACAGAAACCTTTAGCTTTGTTTCAAGCCAGAAGATGGCATTCTTGAGAAGAGGTTTGCAAAGAGAGAAAACA